CAGTGGTAGAGCATCGGTCTGCGGACTGAGAGGTCCCAGGTTCAATTCCGGTCAAGAGCATGTACCTTGGTTGCAGGCACATCCCCGGTAGGGGGTGTGCAAGAGGCAGCTGATCGATGATTCTCTCTCATCGATGTTTCTAACTCTCTCTATCCCTCTCCCTCTCTGTAAAAAAAATCAATAAAATATATTTTTTTAAAAATTATCAGCTTGGCAGAAACCCGTTTGGCTCAATGGATAGAGCGTCGGCTTGGGGACTGAAAGGTCCCGGGTTCGATTCTGGTCAAGGGCATGTACCTTGGTTGTGAGCACATCCCCAGTAGGGGGTGTGCAGAAGGCAGCTGGTCAATGTTCCTCTATGTAAAAAATCAATAATGTATATATATATTTAAAATTATCAGCTTGGCCCTAGCCAGTTTGGCTCAGTGGGCAGAGCTTCAGCCTGTGAACTGAAGGGTTCCAATTTTGAGTTTTGATTTGGTCAAAAGAACATGCATGGATTGTGGGCTTGATGCCCTGTAGGGGATGTACAGGAGGTAGCCAATCAGTGATTCTCTCTCATCAATGATTCTCTCTCTCTCTCTCTCTCTCTCTCTCTCTCTTTCTTTCTCTCTCTCTCTCTCTCTCTCTCTCTCTCTCTCTCTCTCTCTCTCTCTCTCTCTCTCTCTCTCCTCTCTCTATCTCTCTCTCTCTCCCCCTTCCTCTCTGAAATCACCAAAAAATATTTTTTTTTAAATTAGCAAACTTTTTTGGTTTGGTTTATTTTTGATCTATTGCATAAATAAATTTTCTAATACCTAACCTTGTATTAATTCCTGGAATAAACCCTAATTAATTGTTGTATATAATTATATTTTAATATATTGTTAATTTTTTTGTGTTAATCTTAAATATTTTAAGACTTTGCATTTATATTCAGAAGTAAGACTGATTTTGTATGTGTGTGTGTGGGGGGGGGGTGCTTTTTCCTCCAGGCTTTTAAAATTATTTATTTATGTTTTTATTTTATTGATTTCAGAGAGGAAGGGAGAGATAGAAACATCAATGATGAGAGAGAATTATCTATTGGCTGCCTTCTGCATGCCCTCTGCTGGGGATCAAACCAAAACTCTGGCATGTGCCCTTGACCAGAATGGAACGTGGGACCCTTCAGTCCGCAGGCTGATGCTCTATCCACTGAACCAAACCAGCTAGGGTTGACAGGTTTTTACATTAGGTATATCCTGGCTTCATAAACAAACTGTGTAGTTTTCCATCTTTTCCTGTTCTAGAACAGTTTCCACTTTCTATTTGACAGATAAATACCATATAATAGAAGATGACAAGGAAGAGAATGCAAATCAGCACAGATTATTTTGCCTCAGTAACTCGGCCACTTTGGTGTCTGGAGGACAGCCTTGAAGCAGCAATTTAAGCAGGAGGGTCAAATGGGCCATTATTTTGATGTTGAAGAATTTAGCTGGCTGGGCAGGCATGGAGGTGAGTGAAGGTGGTCCTGGGGAGGGAGTAAGTGCTGAGGGAGGAGGGCAGCACAGGAGAAGAGGAAAAGAGGGTTTACAATGGGCTAGACGTGTTTACACAAAAACAAGCTCAGATAGAACTGGGCCTGAAGGCGAGGAATGTGGCAGGCCCATTGGAAGAGGGTCTGGGAGTGGGTACTCCTTCCCTTACAGGACAGTTTCCAGTGCTTTGGCCTGTTGGTCACTGGCCAGAGCACTGGAAAGTAACATTATTTTTCACCCAGGGCATTTGCCCTTTTGTTCTATCATCTCTCCATCTTCATCCCAGCCAGGCCTACATCCAGTGGAGGAGGGTAACAGTGATTCCCATGCTTCTGAGCACAGAGTTCAGCATGCAGGGCAGAGCAGACAAAGCAGGACATAGGTAGACTTCACCAGCTTTGACTTTACACGTTGGAAGAGTCCTTTACAAGGTTCTCTATTTCTTTTTCAGTCCTTTCCTTATGCTTCTCTACAGCTATTACAGGCAGACCCAAAATACATGGTGTTTTATTGTTATTGTTTATTTGTTTGTTGTTGTTGTTTTTGTGTGTGTGTGTTTTAAGACACAAGAAAGTGCTGTAGGAAAGGTGAGGAACAATGTGGTATGGAATTATTGGGAATTGTTCAGCATTATGCTTGCCATATATAATAGCTGAAGCCATTTTGAATGAAAAAGCAACGATATAACAAATGAAATTCAACCCATCTAAACTTACCTTAAGGATAATAATAAATTCTAGGCTCTTTTTACACAAATCCTTTAGAAAATTATTTTAACTAATGGCAAAACTGGCATTATTCTTTTATAGGTTTTCTTCTCTCTCTCTCTCTCTCTCTCTCTCTCTCTCTCTCTCTCTCTCTCTCTCTCTCTCTCTCTCTCTCTCTCGTTACTTAACAACCAACAGAGCAGCCAGCTTGACATGAAGAGTAAGATGCCAGGAGCACAGATGGTCCACAACCCAGATAATTAGCTTTAAAGAAGAAACAACATTTACTGAGTCTTCTGTGATGCAGTTTGGTTGGTCACAGCTGGAGCAGAGAATGAGCAACCATCCTCAACAACTCTTTCATACTTCTGAAAATGTCAGCGGATCACTCACCCTCTCCCTGTGGACAACCACCTACTCATAAGACCTGCAGGGAAGAATCCAAATAAATATTGTAGCCACTCCACCCTAAAGGAAGGGGAGTGTAACTCTACTGCCTAAATGTGGGATGCACATAATGACTTCCTTCCAAAGAGTGGAAAATGGAAGAGGGAAGAGGGGAGTGTAATTCTGTCAAGTGATAAAGGTCAGTATCAACAGTGATAAATTCTGTCCATAGTATGTACTCTGGATATGATATGATGAAAATGGCACTTTATCTCTATGATCTTCCTCCCCGAAATCCATAATCCCAATCTAATCATAATAAAACCATCAGGCAAATTCAAATAGAGAAGAATATCTGACCAGTACTCCTCAAAGTCATCAAAAACAAGGAATATCTGAGAAACTGTCACAGTCCAGAGGAGCCTCAGGAGACATATCCACTATATGCAATGTGTCTTGGATGGGATGGAACAGAAAGAGGACATTAGGTAAAAACGAAGAAAGCCTGAATAAACTATATACTTTATAATGTTTCAATATTGGTCCATAATGTTTCAATATTAGTAATAAATATACGATAGAGATGTTAAGATGTTAATAATAGAGAAAGCCTCAGTGGCAGGGTAGCTCGGTTGGTTAGAGCATTATTCCAATATGCCAAGGTTGTGAGCTTGGTCCCCAGTCAGGGCATATACAAACATCAACTAATGACTGCATAAATAAGTGGGACAACAAATCAATATTTCTCTCTCTTTCTACAAGAAAAAAAAAAAAAACACCTAGAGAAAGCTGTAAGGTAGCATATGAGAACTTACTGTACTTTCTGCTCAACTTTTCTGTAAATCTAAAGCTGTTCTAAGGAATAAACAGCTTTAGATTTACAGAAAAATCTAATAAAAATCTAATAATTTCTCTAAGGAATAAAGAATAAAATAATAATAATAATAATAATAATAATACCTGCAGGAACTGAATGAAGACTAAGATGGAACAAAAGCATCTCCCAACCCCCTTTGGTTTCATAAGCATCTTCTTAGTTCTTGGGCTTTTAGACTTTTATCCTTTTGGGATATTTATATTGCACCCAGGGGTCCTTATTGCTTATCCTACCCACAGCCTTCCCTTGTTTCCCAGGACTTTGTCCCCCACGGGCGATGGTGATTTCAGTCTCTTGACTTCATTCACTACCTCTCTTCTGGCGATTTCTAAATTTTGTCTGGTTCAGGTCACTATACATCCAATAATTGTACAGCGCCCCCTGCAGTTCCAAGCCCATAACCTGATTCTCTTGGAACGGTTTCTTTCATTTCTTGTCTCACAGAGAGCACAGAATTAATTCTCTTTCTCATATCTCTTTGCCAGTCGGTCCCTAAGTTCTGTCATTGCCTCCCGCTTTGGGCTTTGTGTTCTCCGTTCCATCGCCGCTGCCAGGCCCTCAGCCCCTCTGGGCTCCCTGCCTGCAGGCATTCCCTTTTTCCTCCCTGTGTCTTTCCTTTCTTCATTCCTTTCCTTATTTTCCATCCCTCTATCAGGTATTGACAAAAGAAAATGCAGGGATTCTCTCAGGCCTCTGCCAGGCTGTTCGTGACTCCTCTCTACTGTAGTTGCTCATCATGAATTTCTTTTTTCCATCTCGCTGTGTATATTTGGATGTGTGTTTATTTACATTTTGTGTTTGAGATATAGAACCACTTGGAGTATCTAGTGGCTGAAATGCCACAATTTATTTACATATAACACACCAAGATCCATACAAGCCTATTTTAAGAGCACCAGCCATTAACCCAGGTTCAGATGTAAGTAGTTACACGAGAACCATCTTTGAATTAGGTAACGGAAAAAGCTGACATAAGATGGCTGCAGAACTCGACCAATTTAAGTCCTGAAATTGAGGGAGAAGGTAATGAGGGAACATTAGTATAAAAGAGAAAAGGAGACGTTAGTGCAATAAGGAATTTTACCCCTTAGTTGCAATATAAACCCTTTTGTCTTTCCGAGCCAGCCAGGAGTCGAACCTGGAATCTTCTGATCCGTAGTCAGACGCGTTATCCATTGCGCCACTGGCCCTAAGACAATCGAACTACTTTCTGGGACGGTACTTCAAGCTTATGTTGCAGGGTTTCATGGGACGTGTAGTTCCTCGACGAGATTCTGCGAGTGGTTGAGGCATTATGGGAGACCGAAGCTCGTCAAGAACTAGACCCTGCGATTGGTCAATGTTTCGGAGCCACGCAATACGTCACTGTACTGCCTGCGGATTGGCCGGAAGAGCCACTGGAGCAGGGGAAGATGCTCTGGTTGTTAGGGCGACTCGTCCCGCCTCCCCGGGGCTGTTTCCCCCTCCCGGCTTTGTGATTGGCTGCTAGTATTAAGGAATCCCGGCGTGGACTAGGCGAGGGAAAAGATGGCGGCGATGACGGTTGGAGCTGCCGGTGGCAGCCGCGTGTCCAGCGGCAGGGACCTGAATTGCGTCCCCGAAATAGCTGACACACTGGGGGCTGTGGCCAAGCAGGGGTGAGGGCCCGGACCTCCGCGGGCGGAATGCGGGGTCCGAATGGGAGGGCGGAGAGAGGCAGACTAGTCATCCCCGAGAGGCAGGGGAGATGGGGTCGGAGTGGATAAGGTGGGCTGGGGGTGGGTGGGTACCAGTACTCACCTTGGGGAGGGAAGCCTCTGGCCTTGGAGCGTTAGAAAAAAATAACAACAAAAAAAAACCCAACCTTACTGAGGTGTGTGGTCACTCGGTCCAAAAGTCGGGGGAGTTGCCAGGCAAACTCAAAAGGGGCGAACAGCCCTCTAAGGGCCCTGAAGAGCGAAATTATTGTCTGAAAGTGGAAGTGTTAAGGGGCTGGGAGAGGAGAGCTAAACCTTTCAGGGGGAGGCCTGGGCAATCCTGGGATGGATGGGGATGTGACAGTCCTGGAAAACCAGTGACAGAGGAGTAGAAAATCCACTTGGTGTGGACTTTCATCTTTTTCCCTCACTCATCTTTTCCATGGCTGTGTTTTGTGGAGATATTGAGGCCCGAGGCGGCGGAGGTGGTAATGCCCCAAGGTGGGCTGGACTCAGCAGTGCAGTCCGTTGACTGATGGTGGCAGCTGGGAGGGCTGTGCAGAATCCGATAGCCTAATCCAGTTGCTTGGACCTCTGGGCACTGCTGCTCTTTACATGACGACTCTGGGTCTGTCACGGTTGTAGGTTTGATTTCCTCTGCATGCCTGTCTTCCACCCGCGTTTCAAGAGGGAATTCACTCAGGAACCTGCTAAGAATCGACCGGGCCCCCAGACACGATCAGACCTACTGCTGTCAGGAAGGGGTAGGGAGCATCCCATATAACCCTTAATTATTAGAGGCAGTTAACAACGTCTGCTTTAGCAGAGCCCTTATTCTTCTTTCTTGGCTTAGATATATTGTCTAAGTCCCTAGGACGGAGATAATTCTTTTTCTCCTTGCTTCCCTGCTAAAAATCCCTAGTTTCCTAATTTCCCCATATCTGTGATAGAAAAAGTCTTTGTCTCTCATCTCTATTTTCTATTCCCTGTTAAGAACTAGAAATGGAGTGAGTAAAGTGCCTAACCTCATTCAATCTTTGTCTTTCTTGGGTGGGGAGTATAGACTGGAATACCCTGATTGTGGGGAAGCTTTCTCCATGGATCCGTCCAGACTCAAAAGTGGAGAAGATCCGCAGGAACTCCGAGGCGGTAAGATTGTTTGACTTCTCTGGATTTTTCTAAAGATCAGGTTTGTAACAAAGCTGGATGGGGAAAGTAGTTCCTCCCACCCTCCCATAACTCAGTGACTCTGATATAATGCAATTAAAACTATTTGGATTGCTAACTCTTAACCTTTTCCTCTTGATCTCCATTCCAGGCCATGTTACAGGAGCTGAATTTTGGAGCATATTTAGGTCTTCCAGCTTTCCTGCTGCCACTAAATCAGGAAGATAACACAAACCTGGCCAGAATTTTGACCAACCACATCCACACTGGCCACCACTCCTCCATGGTACGGCTGAGGGCCTCCTTTCCTGCTGCATATGATGGTAGTCTGGGTGTGCTATGTACCTTCTTGTTCCTAGCCATTCATTAAAGGGTACATTTGGCAGAACTGAGATGTCAGTACTACTTGCCGCTGTCTAAAATCTGGTGAGCAGAGATTGATAAAAAAAGAATATAAAAATCCCCAGAAACTTATGGTTGAAATATAGGACAAGGCTGATACTTCATAAGAGCATAATATACATAAGCTATATGTATATGCACATGTAATCACAAATTTGGGGGAAGCACATTAATGGATTAATTTGAAGTTTGGATTAGGGGCTTTTAATTGAGGGAAGCTTTTGGACCCAACAAATTCTAAGTAGGGTACTTGTTCATGTACAGTTCTGGATGCGAGTACCATTGGTGGCACCAGAGGACCTGAGAGATGATATAATTGAGAATGCACCAACTGCACACACAGAGGAGTGCAGTGGAGAGGAGAAGACGTGGATGTGGTATGTCTCCTTTTGCTGCTGTACCAGGGCAAAGGGTAGGGTTAAGGAAGTATGGGATGGAACCTATAGGACGGTCTCCTTGAGCTATGGTGGGCCATATTTGATGGTATTTTTCTGTGTTTGACTCCGGACAGGTGGCACAATTTTCGGACCTTATGTGACTATAGCAAGAGGATTGCGGTGGGTAAGTTCATGAAGGTCCTGGGATAGGTATCCCTTTTCTGACCTGGAATAAGAATCAGGAGTTTCATGTAGACTTGGCTGCTGGGGAGTTTTGCTATTTTTTTTGTGCCTCAGTGTGCCTTGCTTTTATTTTACTTATTTAAATTCTCACCCAAGGATATTTTTTTCCATTGGTTTTTAGAGAGTGAGGAAGTGGGGGGAGAGAGAGAAACATAGTTGACATATTGATTGGATGCCTCTCGCATTCGCCCAATTGGGGCTGGGGAACCTGCAACCAAATGTATCGAACCCACAACCCTTCATTCTAAAGGCTGACACTCGGACCACTGAGCAACCAGCCAAGGGTGCATTGCCCTTTTTTTTTTAACGTATTTTTATTGATTTTGGAGACAAAGGGGGAGAGAGAGATGAAACATTAATGATAAGAAATAATCATCAATCGGCTGCCTCCTTCCTGCATGTTCCACACTGGGGATCAAGCCCATAACCTAGGCATGTATTCTGACTGGGAATCGAACCATAACCTGGTTCATAGGTCGACGCTCAACCACTGAGCCACACCCATTGGGCTTCGGCAAGGCTTCCTTGCTAAAATAGATCTTGCACAAAAGAGCAAGAAAAGGCTTCTTGTCTTGCAGTAGTTCACAGGTCTTTCTTTCCCCTGTGTAGCTCTTGAAATTGGAGCTGACCTCCCATCTAATCATGTCATTGATCGTTGGCTTGGGGAGCCCATCAAAGCAGCTGTTCTTCCCACCAGCATTTTCCTGACCAATAAGAAGGGATTTCCTGTTCTTTCTAAGATGCATCAGAGGCTGATCTTCCGGCTGCTTAAGGTGGGTGGTAGAATGATTCTGAAGGTTCTCCAGCAAATCCTTTTGCCTTATTCCCATATGTGTGACGCTCTTTTTCCTGTGGGCTGACTCCCTTCCTCTTGTTTCTGGAGAACAATTTCAGCAGAGTTGGGGGTTTTGAGAGAAAAAAGGCAAATGTCAGTGGAAGCCCCAGAAACTTTAAAAAAGTTACCGGATCTCAAGAGAACCTTGCAGAAGGTTTCACTTAAGAAGTTACAGCAAGGATTCATGGGGCTCTCTGAGCCAGGCTAATGCTTGTAATGGCATAGGAAGGCTTTATAAGTTAAGTTCATTAAAGCATTATGCTGCTTTTGTTGGTATTTGGAGAACTGCTGGGACTTATTTTGAGCTCAGACTCTGGCCATAGCCATAATAATATCCCAGAGTCTTGGTGTAAGGACTGTATCTGATGGTCTGTCTTCTCACAGTTGGAGGTGCAGTTCATCATCACAGGCACCAACCACCATTCAGAGAAGGAGTTCTGCTCCTACCTCCAATATTTGGAATACTTAAGCCAGAACCGCCCTCCCCCCAATGCCTATGAACTCTTCGCCAAGGGCTATGAAGACTATCTGCAGTCCCCACTCCAGGTAGGTCTGGGAGAGGTTGGGGTGGGGTGGGGAATGTCCCTTGAGAGTAGGTGTTCTAAAATCCTGCCAAAGCTCAGGCAACAATGGTGAAAGGTTTTGGTAATTGGTGCATTATCCTTTTCAGAAACTTACTTTGCCTATTTCCCCTCATTCATCAGCCCCTGATGGACAATCTCGAATCTCAGACATATGAAGTATTTGAAAAGGACCCCATCAAATACTCTCAATACCAGCAGGTACAGTGTGCATCCAAGATTGTGTCAGGCACAGGTCCAGAATGACCTAGGTGAGGGTGGGATTATAGATATGAGGTCTTCTCTCCTTTTCCACCAGGCTATCTATAAATGTCTGTTAGACCGAGTGCCAGATGAAGAGAAGGACACCAATGTTCAGTGAGTAGCCTCCCCATGTCCCGGAGATTTGTGTGCCTACTTCTCTATGTGCTGAGTCAGCTTAACTCTGCCCCTTTCCTAGGGTGCTGATGGTGCTGGGAGCAGGCCGGGGTCCCCTGGTGAACGCTTCCCTGCGGGCAGCCAAGCAAGCTGACCGGCGGATAAAGCTGTATGCCGTGGAGAAGAACCCTAATGCTGTGGTGACGTGAGTAGCAACCCTCTTCCTGGGAAGTTTGTCCCCAGTGACAGTTTTTCTTATCAGTGTCCTTACTTGTATCATCTCTGTTTTAGACTAGAAAACTGGCAGTTTGAAGAATGGGGAAGCCAGGTGACAGTAGTGTCATCGGACATGCGGGAATGGGTGGCTCCAGAGAAAGCAGACATCATTGTCAGCGAGCTTCTGGGCTCCTTTGCTGATAATGAACTGTCACCTGAGTGCCTAGATGGAGCCCAGCACTTCCTAAAAGGTGCCTCCAAGCTGGGGTGTACTGAGTAAGGGGATTGGATTATCAACTGGGAAGGCTGTGGGGATGGGGGAATGGCAGGATTGGGTGAGACAGTAACCTAAGAGGAGGTTACAGAGTTTGAAAGGAGGGTTGAACTTGGGTCAGTGCCCTTAGGAAATGAAGTAATCTCTCTGAACTTCAATGTGAACATTTATAAAATGAGGGTAGTGGCTCTGTCTGGTGTGGCTCAGTTGGTTGAGTGTTGTCCTGTGCATTGAAAGGTCACCAGTTTGATTCCCAATCGAGGCACATACCCAGGTTGCAGGATTGATCCTGGTTGGGATCAATGTTTCTCTCTCCCTCTCCCATTCTTTTTCTTTAAAATCAATAAAAACATATTTTAAAATAAAATAAAATGAGGGAAGTAGATTACAGCAGAGACGCTTAATCTGAGGTTTGTGGACTCCCTGAGTTGCTGTGATATGTACCTTTGGCTTAGTTTTCATCAAGATCTCAAAGAGTTTTGTGACCTCACTAAAGTTAAGCATTCATTTAGATATCTTAGGTTCCTTCCAGGGTTGTTTTATTGTTGTTTGTTAATTCTCATCTGAGTATGTTTTTTCCGTTGTTTTTTTTTTTTAAGAGAGGGTGAGAGGGAGCGGGCGGGGGGGGGGGGGAGAGAATATAACATTGATGTAAGGCATTGATTGATTGCCTCCCACATGTGCCATGCCCATATCGGAGCCCAGGATCAAACCTGCAACCCAGGTACATGCCCTTGACCAAGAATCAAACCTGTGGCCATTCATTGCACGCTGATGCTTTAACCATTGAGTAACCAGCCAGGGTAGTTTTAATCTTGTGCAACTCTGTAAATTAACCTGGAGGTGGAATCCCCTGTGACAGGAGTTAGGAGCAGGTTGGCCTGGGGATGTGACAACATTGAGCTTCCTGGGTCTGTTTGGATGTGTGAGTTTGAGCTTTCAGTTCGTACAGATAGCCATTTCCATCTCTTCGAAACTAATGTAACCCTCCTGCACTGCAGATGACGGTGTGAGCATCCCTGGGGAGTACACCTCCTTTCTGGCTCCTATCTCCTCCTCCAAGCTGTACAATGAGGTCCGAGCCTGTCGGGAAAAGGACCGTGACCCTGAGGTAAAAAAAATAAAAAACTCTCTTCTGGAGGTCTCCTCTCTTTAGTTTTTTATTTTTCTGTATTAGCACCAGAAGATGGTGAGGTAGAGGAGGAGCTGGGGATGTGGGAAAGTGGTCGAACTGAAAGTTCGTTTTTATTCTTTTCCATGTTCCTCAGACTTAAGCTTATTTCCCTGAGGAAGTAGGTATCTGTGACCTATTTTCTCCAGTTCTTGCCCTCTGTCTCTCGGGTCAGGCCCAGTTTGAGATGCCTTATGTGGTACGACTGCACAATTTCCACCAGCTGTCTGCGCCCCAGCCCTGTTTTACCTTCAACCATCCCAACAGAGGTGGGTTCCTGTGTGTCTGTCCTCTGACTGGGTGCGTAAGAGCTCACCCTCCTAGTTTTCTCCTTTGCTGTCTGGGTCTGCCTTGTCTAAGCTTCCCTTGGTCTTGCTCTTTACCAAGTTGTCTAGGACTTCTGGCCCTTTGTCACCCACACAGCTTTTCCCTGACAGATCCTGTGATTGACAACAACCGCTACTGTACCTTGGAGTTTCCCGTGGAGGTGAATACAGTACTGCATGGTTTTGCAGGCTACTTTGAGACTGTGCTTTATCAGGACATCACTCTGAGTGAGTTTGGGGCACTGGATGGTGGATATGAGCATGTACTACTTGGGCAGCTCATGTACATATTTCATTAAGATTACGTGGAGCCCAGGAGTTAGGAATGGGAATTTTTGATTACTTGTTTCAAAGTAATTCAGAACCTTCTCAACCTAGTCAAAAAGCACTGTATGGAGAACCTCGATTTTTTTCATTATTTTGTCCACATAGGTATCCGTCCAGAGACTCACTCTCCTGGGATGTTCTCATGGTTTCCCATCTTCTTTCCAATTAAGGTAGGAAACACCTTTAAAACTCCATAGGTTAAGGAATAACTTCAGCTGTTGGGTATGGAGAGCATGTCCTGCTCTCGCGTGCTTGGATCCCAGTTGTAGATGTTAGGACATCTGCGGTGGCCTTCTCCCTGGCTTCCCACATCTCCTCCAGCTGCTCTTCTTTTTTTTACCTTGAGTAAGAATCACCTTTTAAAAACTCAAATCTGATTGTACCTCTCTCCTGCTTAAATCCCTTCCCACTGTCCCTAGGGGTCCCTAGCGTAACAGTCAAAATCCTGAGCATTACTTGTGAGACTTGGTTGATTTGTTTTTAGCCTGCCTTTCTAGCTACTGTCCCCTTGATTACATTGCTTCAGGCCAGAGATGGCTTTTGGTTCCTCTGATACACCATCTTTCCTGCCTCGGCCTTTCATACTTTTCTCCTTTGCCTGTAAAATTATTTGCTTGCTTCTTCACCCAGCTAACTTATTTTCTGGGCTTCCTTGAACATTCTTATTGTCATAACTTTCTGACCTCCTAGACTAAGTTAGTGTTCCCTCTGTGCATGTTCATACACTGATCACATTTTAAATTATTTGCTTAATGTCTGGTTTTTCAGTTCTGATTATTGTAATAGATTTCAAATAAATTTCTTTTTAAAAAAATATATTTTATTGATTTTTAACAGAGAGAAAAGGAGAGAGAGAGCTAAAATGCTAGCTCGATGAGAGAGAAACATCGGCCAGCTGCCTCTTGCACACCCCCTATCGGGGATGTGCTCGCAACCAAGGTACATGCCCTTGACCGGAATCGAACCTGGGACCTTTCAGTCCGCAGACTGACGCTCTACCACTGAGCCAAACCGGCTTCGGCTCAAATAAATTTCATGAGGGTTGGGATGTCATGTTTTATCATCTTATCTCCATATCTAGCTCAATACATTGCCACATATAATTCATTAGCTCCACTCTAAAATTCCATCTTTCTTCTTACAGCAGCCCATTACAGTACGCGAAGGCCAAACCATCTGTGTGCGTTTCTGGCGATGCAGCAATTCCAAGAAGGTGTGGTATGAGTGGGCTGTGACAGCACCAGTCTGTTCTGCTATTCACAATCCCACAGGCCGCTCATACACCATTGGTCTCTAGCCAAGCCTGCAAATGTCCGGAAGCGGCTTCAGCTTCTGCTCCTGTAGCACAGAAGGTGCACTACATCTGTGGGCTGTGATTCCCCTTGCCCATCAGAGAGGAGCATTTCACTCTGTTTTCCTGCCTTACAATCAAGGTGGGCAAAGGAGAAGTAATTACAAGGCTCAAGCCACCAATCTGTGAAGACTTCAGGCCAAGGCATGAGGAGTTAGTGCTGGATCTGAAGCTATTCTAACAGGCACTCGGCCTCTAGCGCTCCCTGGAACAGCCCTGGGAACGTGCAGATTCAACACATTTTCAGCCCTTTCCCTGGTCATCTCTTTCTGTTTTGATGGTTTTGTGTGGAGGAAATACAAATAAAGTGAAGTTATGGCCTTTCCTGCTCCAACCCTGTTCTCCCTGCCTCTTCTTTCCCACACCTTACTTAAACCTAGACATATTTATTTATTTTTTTAATATATTTTTTATTGATTTTTTAAAAAAATATATACTTTATTGAATTTTACAGAGAAAGGGAGAGGGATAGAGAGTTAGAAACATTGATCAGCTGCCTCCGGCACTCCCCCTCCTGGGGGTGTGCCCGCAACCAAGGTACATGCCCTTGACCGGAATCGAGCCCGAGACCCTTCAGTCCTCAGGCAGAGGCTCTATCCACTGAGCCAAACCGGTTTCTGCTCTTGATTTTTTTATAGAGAGGAAGGAAGAGGGATAGAGAGCTAGAAACATCGATGAGAGAGAAACATCAATCAGCTGCCTCCTGCACACCCATTATTGGGAATGTGCCCGCAACCAAGGTACATGCCCTTGACCGGAATCGAACCTGGGATCTTTCAGTCTGCAGACTGATGCTTTATCCACTGAGCCAAACCGATTTTGGCTAAACCTAGATCTGTGCCCTTATCCAAGACCCAAGAGTGTCCATTTGAGAAGTTTAGTGGTGATTCTTGGACTCCTGGGTATAGGTCTTTCTGATTACACAGAGGTCTAGTCTATTAGGACCTGTGATTAGGCTTTTGTCTGGAGAGGAGGCATAATTTGCCACCATAGGGAAAGATGGGTTATAAAGTCAGCTTTCTATCTTCCTTAGCTACTGAACTGCCAAGCACCTTTGTTGCCTCTTGAGAGAAACAAAGCTATCCAGACAACTCCAGCAACAAGCTACCTATTTTTGTTTTAATCCTCACCAGAGGATATTTCATTGACTTTTTTTTTTTTTTTTTTTTTTTTTTTTTTTGAGAGAGAGAGAGAGAATAGAAGGAGGGGAGGGGAAAGAAACAATGTGTGAGAGACACATTGTGTGCCTCTAGTATGTGTCCTGACAGGGCCGGGGATCATACCTGCAAACAAGTATGTCCCTGACCAGGAATCAGACCCCAGACTGTTCAATGCACAGGCTGATGCTCTAATCACTAAGAATACCAGCCAGGGAAACCTATTCTCCTCCTATCTAATAAAAGGGTAATATGCAAGTTAACCATCACTCCATCACAAACATGGCGACGCCCAGTCCTCTCAGCCCCGCTGGAGTGCCCCAGTCTGTGGGGTGGTGGGGGGAGAGGGATGCCACTGAGAGTGGGCAGTGTGAGCATTCCTCACCTGGCCGCAGATGGGCCTCTGGCCAAGCTGGGGTGTGGAATGCTTGCATCATGGAGAGCCTCTAAGCAGTGGGCATGGAGTGGCCAGGCCCCGCAGAGAGCTATTGGCCCACCAATTTGTGCACAGGACGACTAGTGTTGGAATAAAATCATAGGGTTAAGAGTCTTAAGAGATCACCTAGTCCAATTCTCCATTTTATAGAGGTATTTGAAGTTGGTACAATAATATATAGTATTCAAGTCCAGACTGGAACATAGGTCCTCTGACTCTGGCTCTGTTAGAACCTGCCACCTTTTGGAAGTCTTGGGATTGGGGGGTGGATGTAAATCAGTTCCATCCTTTCTGGTTGCAGGCTGACTACTGCTGCATGGAAGAAGTCGCTGAGGAAGTGTCTCAAGTTTACTTTACCCCTGCAGGGTGCGGTGTGGGATACTGACTTGAACTAATGTACGTGAGGTGTAGGACCAGACAAATTGGTGACATGACCTCTTTCCCAGGTCCCAAGCACTGAGGGCAGGAGGACGCCTTAGGAAGGGTTGCGTAGACAGTTCAGAATGGGGATATGGAGTCCAGCATCTTTCCGGACGTGAAGCAAACGCAGTTGCTCTCCACAAAGCTGTCATTAGACCACCGTGACCCCCTTGACAAATCAGTTAGAGCCAAGAATGTCTATTACATGTCGTCGTTGGCTCAGCCCAGCAGGGGGGCAGTCTCGTCAGCCTGAGCTGGGAGCGGGTGGGAGGATCCCCACCGCTAGTTCTCCGCCCGGCTTCCCGCCTTCCGCACGTCATTCAGCCAATGAGCGGCCGCCAGAGGCCGCTTCCACTTCCGGAAGTCTCGAGAAGTTAGCTAATCATTGGAAACGTCACGGTTGCCAAGAAGCATTTGAGTTTGGCTCCACCCATGCTTACAATTTTAACCAATGAAATTCTGAACTTGGGCCTGTTGCCGCGAAACCAGTGAAGTTAGTCCCAGCGCCTCATGTTTTGGCGCCTGCGCAGACTGGGGAGAGTCTGGAAGAGAGTGGAGCCACGCCATTTTGCGGGGAGAGAAGCGGCTTGGGCTGCAGCGCTGCTTCTACTGCTGAGGCTCCGAAGACAGCCGTGCTTCGCACCCTCCAACAAACCCGGAGGAGCAGAGAAGACCGGGGTCCCGCTCTCCCCGCGGGGACCGGAGCTGGTGAGAAACCCTGAAACCTGGTTCCCTCGCGACGTCACCTGTGCGTGACGTTGCCCCCGGCGCTTACCTCTGACGTCACAGGCAGAAAATGGCGTCAAGAGCACAAGAGCAGAATCAGGCAAACTTTTAAAAGAAAAACTTTTTATCTTTGATTCGGAAGTGTTTGCTGCCTGAATAGAGTCCACCGGCAGGATTTTAGGGATCGGCACCCTTGTGGCTATCTCTTGCCGAGGAAGACGCTGTGTCAGGGTCCCAGGGACTCAAGGATCTCAGTCCAGGTCCCCGCGGTCCACCCTGGGGAGGGAGCGTCCCCACGGGAATTGAGGGAAAACGTAGGTTCGGTTTTCGGCCCCTAGTGCCACCGTTCTGAGAGGTGAGAGCATTGCGTTCCTTCCTCGGTCTTCGGTTTCAGGAAGACTTCAGTATATTGGTCTCTGTGGGCTTTTCCCTCTTCCCTTTTATGACCACACTTTCCGTGGCGAACGAGGAGTATAGTGAGCCACGTACGAGGTTTTAGCATCGGGACACTGACCCTCTCAGAGATGGTACTTTATACAATCGTGCTTGTTTTTTTTAAAGCGTGGCCTTTGTGCACATAGTGGGCAGTGTTTTTAGCTTTCTCATTGTTCCTGTTCTTAGTTAAGCTGCTTTCAGTTTGGAGATGTTTGTGCCAGCTCAGTGGCCGGACCCAGGAGATGGCACTACCAGCACCCCTGGGACTCGAACCTTTGGTGAATTCGGCCTGACCGGGGCTGACAGTGCCCCTTCACTCTCCTTTGCCCTTGCAGTAGTGGGACCTAAGTCTTTACTGTGACCTGCCCGTGATTGTGGGCCCGTAAAATGCAGGTTTTGGAGCAGGGATGGAAGAAAGTTCTGTAGTGTTTTAATGGATGGTTTTGAATGGACTTTCACCAATAAATTAGGACAGAAAGAAAGTTTGAAAACTAACAGCCTGAAAATGCATACTGTTTGGGACTTTAATGCTTTTAGGATATCAGAAAGCTCTACTAAACACAGTGAGATTACAAGTTTCAAAATGTGCTCATGTTGTATATGTCTGGGCCCCCCAAATCAGTTCATTCATTTGTTTCTGTGTCTGAGTGAGAATTTTACTCCATCTTTGGGGGGGCACACGTATCAACGTAAGTGAAAGATTTTGTGTGTTAGATTACCCAACCCTGTACTAGCACTCAACGATTCTTGAAATCAGAAGCATTTCATTTAGGGAGGAAAAAGCAGATTGTAAATGATAATTAGAAAATTTGTGTAGAGTTGGCAGCCAAAATGACCGAAAGGAACAGTTTGAGGATTAAAACTGTTTAGAACCATTTTTCCATAATAGATCAAATAGTATATGTTACAATTAGCCTGGTTCTTGATATTTTAAAACATATACAATAAGATATGGCTAATGAGACTGATTTTGTTGGTAAACCTATCGGAATATTAATTTGCCAGATAAGTACATTTAAAAATAGACATCTTGGTATACCTTGTAATTTTCTTTTAAGTAATAAACCACGAGAGAGAGCTAACCAATATAATGGATAGAACATTAGACTAGGGCAGTGGTCGGCAAACTCATTTGTCAGCAGAGCCAAATATCAACCATACAATGATTGAAATTTTTTCTAACACCACTACTTCAAAATAGACTCACCCCTGCCGTGGCATTTTGTGGAAGAGCCACACTCAAGGGGCCAAAGAGTCACATGTGGCTCGGGAGCCGTAGTTTGCCGATCACATGACTAGGATCAGAAGACTTCACTCACGAGTCAGCTTCTCTGTTTGAATTTTGTGACTGGACAGTTCACAGAACCTCAGATTTTTTTAAAAAATATATTTTATTGATTTTTTACAGAGGAAGAGAGGGACAGAGAGTTAGAAACATCGACGAGAGAGAATCATCGATCAGCTGCCTCTTGCACACCCCCTACTAGGGATGTGCCTGAAACCAAGGTACATGCCCTTAACCGGAATCGAACCCAGGACTTTTCCGTCCGAAGGCCGATGCTCTATCCTCTGAGCCTCAGATTTGCATCTGTGCATTGGAACTGGTATCTGGCTGTAGTTATATATTACCTTTGTTAAATAATGTAAGGTGTTATTGTGAGAGATTGTATTCGCTGGATTTTACACACACCTATTTGATTTTGGTTTAATTTCCAATTTAAGACTTACATTTGTTTAAAAGCAATTTTTATTGTTTTACTCTTTCCTATATTCTGTCTCTATAACATGCCTAGCAATATTCAATACTATAAATGATAAGTGTCATATTACATCATCATTACTCTTATTTTCATATTATTTTTATATTTAAATATATTTATATTACTCATATTACTCTAATAAATCATCAAATAGACTATGGGTTCTGAGAGCAACAAGGACAGCATTGTTGAATGATGCATTAACTACTTTAAAGAAGACAAAGCTCTTATGGATATGGAAAGTTTGATTATGATTAACCTCAGCATAGACATTCTTTTTTTAAAAATATATTTTATTGATTTTTTACAGAGAGGAAGGGAGAGGGAGAGAGTTAGAAACATTGATGAGAGACATCAATCAGCTGCCTCCTGCACACCCCCTACTGGGATGTACCCGCAACCAAGATACATGCCCTTGACTGGAATCTAACCTGGGACCCTTTAGTCTGCAGGCCGACGCTCTATCCACTGAGCCAAACTAGTTTTGGCTCAGCGTAGACATTCTTAAGATTAGTTGGAGGAGGTTTAGCTTTATTGAGATATAGTCGATATACAATTACACACATTAAAGTGTACAGTTTGATGGGTTTTGGTGGGTTTTGATATGTTTTATCCATGAAACATCACCTCAAGAATTTCCTGTGCCCTTTTGTAATCCTTTTCCTTCTAGCCCCTCCCTACCTACTCTTATCCCTAGGCAACCAGTGATCTGCTTTCGTCACTACAGGTTAGTTTGCATTTTCTAGAATTTTGCATAAATGTAATCATACAATATATACTCTTCTTTTTTTGTTTGATTTCTTTCACTTACCATAATTATTTTGAGATTCATCTATGTTGTGTATATTGATAACTTCAGACTAGTAATTTCTGAATAATTTTCCCATTGATTTTGTTTGGTATCTTCTGTTTTTCTTATTTAAGACACCTGTGGTGGACACACTTAGGAAAAATGATTGCTACATGTGAAAGCTTGGGTGAGGCGAGAAGTCTCACCCTGCCTGCCTAGACAGAAAGGCTTCAGAGTGGAATTGTTTAAGCTTGTCTTAATTATAATCTTTCTGAGTTATCTAAACTAGTTGTTATTTTATGAAAAATGCTTAATGCTGAGTTCCCTAATTATTGATGTGTGGGAGGGGAATGCGGGAAATAGCATAGGGCAAATCTGCATTATTCTGGTGTTGCTTTGTATTTTCTCCTTTTTAGTCTTGCATCTTTACCTTTTTATTGGAAATATGTGCTTATTTCTATGATGTAAGTTTAAACCAGTTATTTTTTTTTAATTTCTTTATTAAGGTATCACATATTTGTCCTCATCCCCCATACCCATCCCAAACCCCTCCCCACATATACCCCCAACCCCCTATTGTCCATGACCACTGGTTAGGCTTATATGCATGCATACAAGTCCTGTGGTTGATCTCTTCCCCTTACCCCCATCCTCCCCTACCTTCCCTCTGAGGTTTGAGGGTCTGATCAATGCTTCTCTGTTTCCGGATCTGTTTTTGCTCATCAGTTTATTAAACCAGTTATTTATTCAGAATTTTGAGCAGTAGAATGGAGGCCTAGTGTTTGTTCATTGTAAAGTGTAATTTTGAGTACAAACACTTCCTTTTCACAGGACAGGACAGGGTCTGTATTATTTTGTCTCTACCCAGTTTCCTTGTAGACCCTTCACCTATTCTAAATCATCAAGCAGAAACAGTTCAGATCTGTATGGTGCAAAAATAAACCTAGGGTAAGCAAATAGCCGGTACGATTCCTTTGGAGTTTATGAAACAGAACTATGTTCTAAAGTCTGTTTCTTAGAGGGGGAAGGGAATGTGGTGTGCTGGAAGGGGAGGAAAAATATAAATGAGGTTCTTGTGTATTGATATCCTCTCCTCAGATCTGCTGTGATGGCATCCGATGACTTTGATATAGTGATTGAGGCCATGCTGGAGGCTCCCTATAAAAAAGAAGAGGTAATATTCCCACCTCACTCCTGGAATTGGGTTAGTAAGAGAAAGCAATTGTGGATCTTTGGTCTCAACATCTTGTGAATTCTTGTTCTCTGCTTGTTTATTGTGTACAATGGCTATTCATAAAAGGCATAGTCTTTTAGTAAGCCATTCTGGAGACCAGTACTCAAGGGCCTTGTTTTCAGAGTGGGCCCCCTAAAATGGAGGGGAGAACACAAATGGGGTGGGAATGGGTACTTTGCTCATAGTTCTCAATGATACAGTAGAAAGTCAGACCTGTACCTCAGACCTAACTGACTTCTCATTCTCCTGAGAAATAGATGTTGAGTAGCTAAAGTTTTGACATCAAAATCTGTCCCTCTGATCTCTTCCTTTTGGGTATTTTTCCTCCCTTTCTAATTAATTTTGTTAGGAGGTCCAGGTGTTTAGAAGTTGGCTAGGTAATTTAGAGCTTTGATTTCATATGTGTTTTTCCTTGTCCACTTTTGTTCTTTCTGTGCCCAATGGATTCTATATGTCTGCCACGTTGAACCTTGCGACATTTTTCTGGTGAACTTCAGGATGAGCAGCAAAGGAAAGAGGTTAAAAAGGACGGCCCTAGCAATACCAGCAGCAGCACCGGCAATGGTGGCGGTGGGAGCAGCACCAGTGGGGAGGAAAGCAAGTGAGTTGATGTGAGGAAATGGGTTGGCAATTTAGGAAGGGAAGCAATATTGTCTATTGGAGAAACAGCAAGAACAGGGAGGTAGTTGTTTCTAAGACAGTTTTTTTTTTTTTAATTATTATTATTTTAATATATTTTTATTGATTTCAGAGAGGAAGGGAGAAAGCTAGAGAGATAAAAACATCAATGATGAGAAATCATTGGTTGGCTGCCTCCTCCACGTCCCCCATTGGGGGGGGATCGAGCCCACGACCCGGGCATGTGCCTTTGGCTAGAATTGAACCTGGGACCCTTTAGTCCGCAGGCCGACACTCTATCCACTGGGCCAAACCAGCCAGAGCTAAGACAGCTTTTGGCTTCACTGAATCTTGGGCATAACGGTGATTTAGTTTTGATCTAGTTTAAGCTTTTCAGTGTAGAATGTGGATCAGTTCCAGCATTGATATATTTCATTTGAGTAAAATAGCAAGAAGACTCCTCCTACTTTGGAAACACCAGCTTTGGTTGATCAGATGCCTGACAGCATCCAGGGCTGTGTGTAAGTTGGTATTGAGCAGTTGCTGTGAGCTGCTATCAGATCATCTGGACTTTGGTCCTTTATTACGTTCTGATTCACCCTGGCCATACTCTCATTCCTTTTATGTGGGAGAGATCATGAAACCTTCGCAATAATAAGAATTTACACTGTCTTTCACAGGAAGAAGAGTCGGAGCCATAGTAAAAGCAGGGATAGAAAGCGCAGGTCAGTTATTCTGGGGGCTGTTGGGTTTTGAGAATTACTACAAAGGGAAAGATACCAGGGAAAGCTATACATTAAAAGCCAAAAGAGGTTGGTTGGTTCTTTAACAGACTAAATGGTTGTTTCCCTCTGTAGTCGTAGTCAAGACCGTAGTCGAGACCGGGACCGGCATAGACGGAGAAGTAGTCGGAGCCGAAGCCGAGATCGGCAGCGTCGTCACCGCAGCCATAGCTGGGATCATCAACATAGTAGTGAGTCCAGAAGTCGGGCCCCACGTCGTGAGAATCGTGTGCACTACCGGAGTCCACCACTTGCCGCTGGGTATCACCTTTTGCTAATAAGCTCGCCTTCGTATTGTAATCTGGGTAAAACGCTTTTGCTGTGGTCCCTGCCACAAAGTTGAGTGACACATTTTCACTTTGTTTGTTCTCTATTCCTTAGGCATAGGTATGGACCCAGTAAGAGTCCTCATGTCAGAGAGAAGAGTCCGGTCAGGTGAGTTAATGATGAGCACTTCTTTAGGAATTGGGTGGTATGAATAAAAAGCTCTTTGAGCTAAACTTTAGGGATGTGTGGTACTTGAGAGTAGCTGGGAAACAAAGACCAAGTATTGGGTGGAGGGAGGGGGAGCGGGTCTTAATAAGTTTTACTTTTTAGGGAGCCAATTGATAACCTGAGTCCCGAGGAACGTGATGCCCGGACAGTTTTCTGTATGCAGTTAGCCGCCCGCATTCGGCCTCGAGACCTGGAGGACTTTTTCTCTGCTATTGGCAAGGTAACATTTTCCTTTTTATTATTATTATTATTATTTTAAATATATTTTATTGATTTTTTACAGAGAGGAGGAGAGAGGGATAGTTAGAAACATCAATGAGAGAGAGTCATCGATCAGCTGCCTCTTGCACACCCCCCACCGGGGATGTACCCGCAACCAGTGTACATGCCCTTGACCGGAATCGAACCTGGGATCCCTCAGTCCGCAGACCAACGCTCTACCACTGAGCCAAACCGGTTTCGGCACATTTTCCTCTTTAGTTTTCTTCTGAGTAGTCTGTTTTTTATCCATCCCCCTCTCTATCCAACTTAGGATTTCCTTTTTCCCCTGGATAGGTTCGTGACGTACGTATTATCTCAGACCGGAACTCCCGTCGCTCTAAGGGCATTGCCTATGTGGAATTCTGTGAAATCCAGTCTGTGCCACTGGCCATTGGGTTGACGGGGCAGCGGCTGCTGGGGGTGCCCATCATTGTGCAGGCCTCGCAGGTGAGCAGGCTGAGAAACTGATATGAAAAAACAGCTTTGAAGGTGGCAGGTGTGGGACTTGACCCATCATCCCCTCCTTCCTCAGGCTGAGAAAAACCGGCTGGCAGCCATGGCCAACAACCTACAGAAAGGCAGCGGTGGACCAAAGCGCCTCTATGTGGGCTCCCTGCACTGCAATATCACCGAGGACATGCTCCGGGGCATCTTTGAGCCCTTTGGCAGAGTGAGTAGAAAGCGAGGGAAACCTCCGAAGGGAATTGGGAAAAGTGGGCAGGGTGAGTGTTCCTCTTCATTCTGTCTGACCATGATTAACCCACAGCATATATAGTAATGGGCATATGCGTCCATGCTTGCAAAGTTAGGTTCCATCTCTGTGTTCAGACTGTTCAGTAGACAAATGAGTCAGCACCATGAAATCAGAGGGGTCCAGATTAAGTAAGATTAGTCAGAAAGGGTGTTTATGGGGGGAGGGGGAATGGCCTTTGTCTCTTTTAAAAAAGATTTGGAGAAATGTAATTAGTGGCTAGAAACTTGGAGATATTTAGAATAGTCTGGGTAGGAAGGGTCAAAGGTGTGTGGCTTAGCCAAAAGATTATTAATATTTTCTCCCTATTTTACAGATTGATAATATTGTCCTGATGAAGGACTCAGGTACAGGCCGCTCTAAAGGTTATGGTTTCATTACGGTAAGTCTCTAGCCTTAATTTATTTTAATTTGTGTATGTGTATGTGTCTGATTTTGCAGCTTATTAGCTTCATCCTCCTCCTTTAGGAACTGTCTAAATCAGTAGTCACCAACCAGTGGTCCATGAGGTCCGACAGGTTGGTGACCGCTGGTTTAAGGAAACCTTTGGAGCAGGGGTCGCCAACTGGTGGTGTGCAAACCACTGGTGGTCCATGAGGTCTGAAAGGTTGACGACTGCTGGTCTAAGTGGCCCATAAACCTTGGTGCTGGACCTTGGACTACTAGCCTTCTGTCCCTTGAGATGAGTGCATTGTTTGAGATCTTGGCTTTGTTCCTACACTCTGTCAGTGTATGGGGGTGTCCAGGAGTTCTACCACCTTCCCTGGGGCTGCAATTTACTCTTCGGGTAATAGTTATGGTTCCAGGTTGCAAATAAAAGGTTAGGGGAGTGAGGGAGGTTAGGTATGAGCTGTTATAGACATGCTTTATAGAACTGACATATTTTCATGATGGAGTGGGAATAGGAAAGTTATATACTTACCTCTTGTGCTACCCTGTTTGAAGTAGGTTTTTCATTGAGAAGTATCTTTATATTTAAATCCCACTATAGGGAGAATAGTGAGGCCACCTTATAGTGGGCAGTCTCATCTTTCTCTGACACTCCAGCAAAATTGTTTCCAATTCCCATAACTGGTTCTTCTAGCCCCATGTGACTCCAGGCTGAGGACTGGCTGCCACCTACAAAGTCTGATAGAAGCTGATATTTTCTGGGCTCAATCCAGGCAACATACACCCCAGAGTTACCTGCAGGGCAGAGGGGAGATAGGTTGTGTTCTACTATGGCAATTGCTTACCTCAAAAGTACAGCCAAAACCGGTTTGACTCAGTGGATAGAGCGTTGGCCTGCGGACTGAAAGATCCCATGTTCGATTCCAGTCAATGGCATGTACCTTGGTTGCGGGCACATCCCCAGTAGCGGGTGTGCAAGAGGCAGCTGATTGATGAGTCTCTCCCATCGATGTTTCTAATTCTCTATCCCTCTCTCTTCCTCTCTGTTAAAAAAAAAAAAAAAAAAATGTATCCAGTAAAGGCAGGCCACCTACACCACATGCCTAGGAACTGTCATTACCACGTGCCAGGCCCTAGGGCAGGTAATATCAGAGTAAACAAAGCCAGCTGTGGCGTTCCTGGTGGCAGTATCTTTTCTAGCTCCCTGTGTGAGTCAGATTTGGAAAGACTTCTATGGGGCCTTTTTGCCCTTTTGTTGCTGCATTTAGGTCAACACCCTTGACTCTTTCTTTAAACAGAAGATTGGGAATCCTCTTTATGCCAGGCTGCTGCTGCTGCTGCTGCTGAAAGGAATGAGAGAGTTGAGATCCTGTGGTCAGTGGGTTACTGAGTCAGCAGTCCTCTGGTGGAGGTGGAGGTTGGGTGCAGTTTCCTTTTAATACTAGGATGTATTACTTCCTAAGGCTGGGCTCTGGAGGCCCAGATTCCTTCTCTTAACTGAGAATTTAAACTTACTAGTTGCAAGGTCTCAAATAAAGCCTTGGAGTCTTAGCTCTCAGTCTGTATTTATATCCCCATTTGTGAGACGGCCAGTCAGGCTAGGCTTCCTACAGATAATAGACATTTTACATGGTTAGATTTTTAGTGGAGCTCAGAGATTGAAATCAGTTGAAAAAGTCCCTTTCAAAGATCAGTTTTAGGGGGATCTAAGGTCACATTCCTTGAGAAAGAAAAATTTGTGCTGCAGCACCCATGCAAGTTTCCTGGGTAGTAGGACTAGGAGTGTTAGTGGGGCTTTGAGGGCATATCTCTGGCCGAGAGGTGACTGATAATGGCCTGGGTTTCTTGTAGTTCTCTGACTCTGAGTGTGCCCGACGGGCCCTGGAACAGTTGAATGGCTTTGAGCTTGCTGGTCGACCTATGAGGGTTGGCCATGTGACTGAGAGACCGGATGGTGGCACAGACATCACTTTTCCTGATGGAGACCAGGAGCGGGATCTGGGATCAGCAGGTGGACGTTTGCAGCTCATGGCCAAATTGGCAGAAGGTAGACTTACTCTGCAGAGTGAAAAACATGGGGTTGAATTGTAGATTGAGGGTTGGGACTTAACCCCACCTTTTCTTTCCCTTTTAGGCTCTGGAATCCAACTGCCAACCACAGGCGCTGCCGCCGCCGCTGCCCAAGCTGCTGCCTTGCAGCTGAATGGAGTTCACTTGGGGGCCCTAAACCCAGCAGCTCTGACTGGTAAGCGTGGACTTGGGAAAGGGGTAGGTGGGTTGGGCCTGGGAAGAAGGAATGCTCTGTGCTCACTGACTCACTTTGCCTCTCTCTCTTCTAGCTCTGAGTCCAGCCCTGAACCTTGCCTCTCAGGCAATTGCCTCCCAGTGCTTTCAGCTTTCCAGCCTTTTCACCCCCCAGACCATGTGAGTCGCAGGACCTCATTCATTTTAGCCTCTGGTTATTTTCTTTCGTTTGACTTCCATTCACCTCTTCTCTTTGCCCCAAGTAAGTCGGTGGCACAGTACATTGCCTCCCTATGCCTCTGCGTCCTGCCACTCCCTTCTTCATATCTATCGATACCATTCTACGGCCCCTTCTATCCATTTTGTGGATCAAGCCATCCTGAAGCCATGGACATTAACTCTGGGGGAATCGGGGCCGTAGACACCAAGAAGAACTCCTGCCCATGGACCCACTGGGAATGGACTTTGCTGAGCAACCAGTAGTTGAAGAGAAGAAAGTTATTGAACACCTGTCTCTCCATGTATATCATCTCCTGGGATGATCTTATTGCCCTCACTTCTTAGTGATTCCTCAATTCCTCCTTTGTTGAGAAGGCCTTAGGGCATTAACTGAAAGAACTGTTTTTTTGGACTCCCCCTCCCCCCCCATACCTTTACCCTACAGTTTTGTCAAGGAAAAACCCTTAAGCCCTCTGGCCCAAGAGGATTTTGCAGTTTGGGGGCTGAACCTTGAAGGTGCTGGCTTGATGCTACAAGGGCCCTGGAAGATAGCGTTCATGTGCATATGCATTGTAAAGCCTGCCTGAGACCTCAGCTTGGGGCCAGAACCACTGTGGGCTCTGCAGTTTGCTGGGAGCAAAATACCTGGCAGGTATTTTGGATGTCTTAGGGGCATTCAGGAGTTTAGTGAAAGATGGGGCACCTTTCCAGTATTTTCCATCATCTTTTGTATAGTTAGTTGTCCTTCCTCCCAGGTTCTTCCTTTGGTCCAGGAAGGGAGGATGGTGGGGAGGCTGCTACTCTCCACTACTCCAATGTGCCTCTCCTGTGGGCTCCATCCCTGTGCTAAAGCCGCTCCTGTCCCCTACTTGGGCACATCTGAGCCCTTCTCACTGGATTTTATGACCTTGTGTCTGTGTACATAAATATATATATAAACTTTGTACAAAAGGCAAGCCTTGCTGTTGTGGCTGCTGCCCATATGTGTGTGGTCTCAGTCAGTTGTGTCTGATGTTAACTTGTAATGAGCCAAAACCAAGAGTGGTTGTAGGAATGTAAAAACAATGCCATTGTGTTTTCTTTATTTTAATGGTATTTTTAGAAATAAAACAGGACAAAAGGTGCACACCTGTGTACAGATACACTGTCTGTATCTGCATTATAGTTTCTGCCCCTTGGTTTCCTATCTGTTTTACCTTAACTATCTCCAAACCTACTGCCCACTAAAGACTACCAGGCTGTCTCTGTGCCTAAGGACAGATCTTGTCTCTCCACCAGATGGCAGTGTGACATTCTGCACCTTTCTTTAGGGTTGTGTGATCTGGAGCAGTGGTCGGCAACCTTTTGGACCTCACGGACCACCAGTGGTCCATGGACTACCAGTTAGCGACCTCTGATCTAGAGGACTTAAATATTTATAGAGAAATCTTCCAAGCTCAATATTCTTACTATTAGCCTCCATACTGCCTTTAGCCCTTTTGTAGTAGGAATCCCAGTCCAGTATCCAAAGGGATTTGGGCATCATACATCAGGACTCTGCAGACCATAAGCCTTCTATTCTCCCAGTCATCTCAACTCTTGCTTTTCAGATATATAGCTCTGCCTAGGACAACACGGGCCTGAGACCAGTGACTTCCAGGGAGCTGAGTATTCCAGGAATGGCCCTGCCAAAAGGGAGGTACCCATTCCTCTTCCCCCTTTATAAGGCTTGTAACAGACAACTGAGTCAGAGTCTGGCTTACCAGCTAGAAATCAGCCAGGAGGAGGAGGTCTGAGGTTCAGAGGTAGGGCTGGTGGGGTTCCTTCATTCTTTACTGGTCTCTATGGCAACGGAGTGTTAAGACTTTATTATCTTGCTAAAAATATGGATAATTGCTGTTAAGTTTTAATTTGTCAGCTCTCAGACTTCTAAAGCAGAATGATGGTTTTTTGGTGATGTTTACTTCTGGGATTGCATTTAGCACAATTATTAAGTACGTGAAGTCTGTCTGTCTGATATAAAAGACCCCTGGGACCCAGGACTAGCTCTTGGTTCTTCTAGGCTGCCGCAGTCTTGCTGCTTCTGTTTGGCTGCCACCCCCACCCCTTCCCTAGTTTGCTCTCTGAACCTGGGGGAAGGGAAGGAGGATGCATTATTTTTAGGTAGGAGCAGCTGGCTGTGGCCCAGTACCCCTGTAGTTATTGATTTGCTGCTAATGCATCCTGAGAAGCACAGTGCGGACCATTTTTGTTTGTCATCCTGAAGCTATGGACCAGGCCTCTTCATAGAAGTCTTCAACTCATCAAAAACTAAATACCCCAGGCCTCACCTCCCTGCCCTCCTCAGGTGGACCTCCATCTCTGCTTGTTTTTTTGCTGTTGGTAATGTTGTTGTTGTTAATCCTCACCTGAGGATATTTTTCCATTGATTTTTTTTTTTTTAATTATCTGTGTTTTATTGAAGATTGTCCAGTCGTGAAGCAGAAGGAAAACTGAACACAAGTTAGTTTTGTTGCTGCTCTTTTTAAAGTCCTTTGATTATCTTTGTCAAGGGCCTCCGCGATGCCACTGTTCCAGAATCAGATCAATAAATATTCACCTGGGCTCCTCTGTATCTTTACTTGTGCTGCTCCCTCAGCCTGAAATGCCTGTCCTCTCCCTCCCCGACGGTCAGACATCCTTCTGACTCAGCTCAGAATTGACTCTTCTAAGAAGCCTTCTCCAACTTCCTGCAAGTTCATCTCATCTCTGTCCTACTCACCCCTGTCTTTTTCTCCATTGGTTGTTAGGGAGAAGGGAAGGGAGGAGGAGGATGAGAAGCAGGGGAGAGGGGGAGGAAGAGAAAGAGAGAAACATTGGTTACCTCCTGCTTGCACCCTGACCAGGACTGAGGATAGAGCCTGAAACCCAGGTATGTGCCTTTGACCAGAATCGAATCTGGGGACCCTTCACTAAGCCGTTGGCTAGGGTTTCTTTATATTCCTATTCCTGGCTACTTTGGGCTTCCTGTACTTTGGCTCCTTTTGCTCAGTTTTTCCTGACCTCCTGGTCTTGCCTCATACATCCTCTTGCTGGAAGAGAGACAATGGCGGAAGTGAAGAAGGACTGCTTCTCAAGTCTTAACCTATGTAAGGTGACTAGTGGGCGACAGCCTTGTCACTGTGTATGACTCAGTGTCTAGTCATCCTTCTTGGGAGAGGTTGGAGTGGAGAAAAGGGGGCAGAAATCAGTCTCTCTGGGCCCAGCTAAAGGTAAAAGAAACCTCCCTCAACCTCTCCTGCCTGAGCTTGGTGGCAAGGATGAGGGGGGAGGGGGCACTGGGTCTGGGATTCTTTCCCAGCATAGTTGGAATTGAATAGTTCTCAATTCATAATGTGATTTTCACCTGACTTTTGACTTATCCAGCCTAAGCTTTTGTCTTCTCGAAGGCAGTGGCATTTCCTCCCTATTCTTTAAGTTACTGTGTTTTGACATTGGGATTCAGGAAGCAATGCTTGGACAGAAGAGTGTATCCTGGCTCTGAAAAGTGGGGCGGTAGGAGGTGATAACATTTATGCAGGATTTGTTTTGGGTTAGGCAATGTAGCCAATATGTACACGGAATCATTTCACTTCCAGTGATCCTCTGAGGTAGATTCTTTTACCTTTACATTGTAAATAAGGAAACTGATACCTAAAGAGGCTAAATAATTTGCCCCACAGTTACAGAGTTAGCAAGTACAGGCAATCTAGCTTTAAGATCCCTTGATCTTCATCTTAACCTGCCCCAGCACCACTGTGGAAGCCAAGGCCTTGGAGTCATGGGGAGGTCTCCTTTTTCTGTCTCTACCTGTAGGTCTCGGTATATCCTGAAATTTTCCACTCCATGTCTGCTTACTTTATTCTTCCTGTCCTCTGCTTGTCAAAATCTAGGCCTTTAAGACTCTGAAACTTTCCTAGTTGGAACTGAATTCCTTTTTCCGTATTCTTTGTCCTATTATGGGTCTTATTCTGCCTTAATTTACAGTTCTTTGTATACTCTATTAATAGATGGTTATAGCCTAATGAGACCAGTCATAGATGTGTCCTTTTCATTAGTGCTTTGCCTGCACCTATTACGTATCTATTGAACTGAGTCCCTCCCTGCTCATGTGGGAGCCAGGCTTTCTAACGGCTGTCCCTTTTAGCCTGCCTTCCCAGCAGCTTCATCTATCCTTCCTCACCCCTTCAAGTGAGGAGGCAACTTGACTCTTTTTAGTGTTACCATAGTAGCCTGTGAGGCTTTCTGTCTAAAATGCTGCTTGCCATACACCAGACTGGTGTTTCCATGGCAACCAGGTGAAATCTATAGTTATGAGCTGGATGTCGGAAAGGAATACTGAAGTCTGAGAAGCTGTGTGTCTGAATCTTCTAGCTTCAAACATCCTCCTCCTCCCTAACATTTGCACTCTGTGTCCATAACTAATTTTCTCTGCTCTTGGTGGAGAGAGCTTTGTGTGAGGTGAAGCAGACCAGGCAACTTAGGTCATGTGGGAAGGTGGAGACGAGGAAAGAGCTGATCAAAGATCACATTGAAAGTTGGATGAGTTCTGTTAGCTCTCCCAGATGATCTGCTTTCGGAGACCTTAAGGAGTTGGCTGGAGGTACTTGAGAGTCATTAAGCAGTTATTTTTGAGGGCAATGGGCAGATGAGGTGCCTGAGACTGGAAAGGAGCCAGCCAGTGCTGGATTGTGGAGCGGAAACGGTGACGTTGGAAATCAGAGACTTGTCAGACTCGTGCCAGTGTTCCATAAAGGATGGGAGTTTCAATTAACTTTCAAGCATTATGATGCCTACATCTTTACGATACGTGGTGCTGAGAATTAGCCACCTCCTCTCAATTTCTGGGCCAAACCAACTCAGGGGACCTCCAACCTGTAGCAAATTGGTCACACTGTGGAGCAACCCTGCCTGATCTGACTCAAACCAACTGAGTGAGCTTGGATGTTTTTTTACCTCTCTTAACTC